ACACGTTGACTGTCCACGCTCCAATGCCAAAGCGTCCAGGTCTTGCGCTGTTTCCCGGCCTCCCGCCCCGCGGAGCGGAACCACACCCTGCCCCCAAGAAATCGTCGCGGACCTTCAAGTAACCACAGTCGGCCCAGATTTGTAGGTCGACCCTGCCAAATCAAGGGCACTCTTGTGTCCTGTGCATCGCGCGCCGTGCAGCCCAAGGGCAGGGTGTCCTTGGGTCCTGTGGTATTGGAGGCCATGTTGCCGTCGGAAGGGTCTTGCGTCCTGTCGCGCGTCCTGTGCGCAATGGTTTGCCTGGGTGCTCCTACAGCTTCTTGCTCCTCCACCCAGGGATGCCGCGGGCACAGCAGACAATGAGGAGACTGGCAGGCCCGCGGGGGCCCCACGATGCTTCTGCCTTGCCCGCCCCCGGGGGTGCGCGGAGCCCCAGGGCACCGCTTCGAAGCGCAGAGCGTCGACGAGGGAGGTGCCCCCCCAGGTCGCTCACGTCGAGGCCTCGTCGCCGCACGCGCCCGCTCCGGGAGGGGGCCCCGCAGGTCGAGCTTGCCCTGCGCTTGCGGCCCCCCGCCCTCGGGCCCCATCCGCCTTCGAGCCCCGCCTGCGAGCCCCGCCCTCGAGCCGCCGACGGCGCGCCCGCGCGCGCGCGGAGGCCGCTGGGGTCACGGCCAGCGTCCCGCCTCGTCGGCGCCACGCCGTCCGCGCGAGCGTCCCCGCTCTGCGGCGTGGAGGGCCCCCGGGCGGGCACGGAAGTGCGCGCAGCGTCGGAGTGAGCGACGCAGAGAAACGGGTGCGATTTGCGCGGAAGCGCCCTCGTTTCCGATGTGGCGTGCCGCGCTGGCGGCCTGCGTAAGCCGCCGCACAAGGTCGCGATGTATTCGTGCGTACGACCCGTTTCTTTTCGTCGCTCACGTGGGCAGTGCCTGGTCGAGCGCAGCCGAAAACCCAGGCAATGGGCCATGGGGACGCCACGAGAGCTTCTTCTCGTCGACCCCGCGGGGGGTGCGATGCACGAGCGGCGAGAAGCGGCACGGTACAGTAAGCTTAATCGGCACAGTGGCCGTGTCCTGCTGCTGGCTCTGGCTCAGGTAAATTCGGAAGACAATTCGCGAGGTAGCAGCCGTACCAGCAATCAGTCCTTCGACCGAGCCTGGGAAAATGTCAGTCGTCTTGCCGCTCGCAAGCGCGAGTCAGCGAGTTCATTGGTTTCATCTTGCGGCCCAGGAGGAAAGAGAAGAGGAGTAGCGAGAGGGAGAGATGGAAGGATAATGACACAATCAATGTTGGCAACGCTGAAACGATCAATCGCTCCATCGCTGCCGGGGCCGTCCTCGCGCCATGTATGGGCTGGGCGATGCCGGTGGAGCATTTCGTCCGACAAAGCTGTCTCCCACGTGTGCGCTGCGCAAGATACGGTTTGGGCGTTCGTTACATAATGTGCCAAGGAGGCTTTAGACCCTGGAGGACTCCTGACCTGACGTTGGCGGCAGCGAGATCCATGGCCAAGCCTCAAGTGCTAGACCACCAGCTTCAAGACCCTGGATTCCTTATCTAAGGGTTCCTTATCCGATGTCCTCACCCTAAGTGTGGAGCGGCGAGGGGCGCGACACGAGATCCACATCCCAATCCCCGGACGTCCATGTCCCGAGCGTCTCCCGACCTCCCGCCCCGCGGAGCGGAGCGATACGCTATCCGCTGGCAGGGCATGGCGTGTCGCCTGGGCCACCGCCGTGACACGCTCATCAAAAGTTCTCGACGTGAGGACAATCGAATGACAAACACGGCATTCACAATTTGTGGGAGGTCCGCGCGGGTTC